AAAATCAAAAATATAAAAGTATGAAAATTTCCCTTTTCTTTGACTAATATATCTTTATTTTGTTTCAGGTGCTACATGCAAAAGGAAATTGGAAATTCCAAAAAAAAGAAAGAAGGGACTCAATTGAAGAAATTAAAAGTTGAAGGGGTGAAATGCAAAGTCTAGCCCAAAACCCATCAAACCCAAACCAAAGCCCAATTACCCAAAACCCAAAGCCTACCAACAACCCAAAACCCACAATTACTCAAACTCAACCCAATACCAACCCATTTCAACTTAAAACCCAATTATCCAAAAAAAAAAACAAAAAAAAGGGGATCTGGAGCCTTCTCCTTCCCCATCAATCTTTCCCCATCAATCTTTCCTCTCTTCTGCAACCGAGCCGGCCTACCCCTCTGCATGAACCAGCCTGCACCTACCCTGCACCGAGCCCTGCATCCCTGGCCTCTTCGCGCCTGCACTCTGCGCCTCACTGCCGGCCTTGCTTCCTGCACCTGCTCTGCACCGAATCTACATCAATCTCCAGCTCTGCACTGCGCCAGCCTTCCTCTGCACCAGATCCCCTCTCCTCTGCGCCTCACTGCCGGCCTTACTTGCTGCTCTGCCTCTGCACGCTACAGCAGCTCCAGACAAATTAGCATTAATATTGATTGACAGAGCAGGGCTTTTTTTTATTACTTTTATCTTTATTTTTCTCTTTTATTCGGGTATATATATAGAGAAAAATCAGATTGAAAAGGGGGTTTTTGTTGGTTGATTTTGGGGTCCGTTTGCTGGGAGTCATTGTTCTTGGTTTCGGGGGAAGGAGAGAGAAGAAAACCAAGCTGATTCCGGTGATATTTCAGCCTCCTTTTGCTAGGTATTTTCCTACAACAGAGGAGCCTTTTTGGGGAGGCAGTGAGGGGAATGATCTGGGCTTGATCCCGTGGGTGGGATCCGCCAGATCGGACTCTGATCTGTTACCCAGAAAGTTCCGCCGTGTTTGTTTCTTTGTCCTCCTGTTTCTGTGATCTGCTTCTATGATATTTACGTTTGTATGTGTTTACTGAAAATCAATGAAAGAAGATAAAAAAAAATGTTCAGTTTATTTTGTATGATGATTGTGTTTCCCTTTCTTCCTGTTAATGAATGTTTATTTTATTTTTATTTGGAATGAATGTGTTCTTCTTTAAAACAAAAAAAAGAGGTAGAAAGGAGATGAACCAGACTTGTTCTGTTTAGTGTTTGATCTGTTTTGCGTATTATAGATTGATGGGTTATGTTTTTGTGGGTCGAGTCAACCCGACCCAATCTAACAAAAAAAAAACTAAAAAGGTTAAAAAGTAAAAAATATGTATTTTATTGATTAATTAGGGGAGTTAGTTTATTTATGATTAATGAAGTTAATTAATTTTAATTAAAATAAATTAATCATGTTTATTGAATTTGATTTGAGATAATTAGATAATTTATTATCTCAAGTTAATTATTAGTAAATGTGATTAATTAATTTTAATTAATTTTAATTAATGTTAAATTAATTATTCAATTAAACTAATTATCTTGATTAATTAATTTTAATTCTCAATTAACTTTAATTTTGGTCAAAATCAAAGATATCTTTTATTTTATCTCAATTTCATCCAGAACTTTCAGGATTAAGCAATTCAGTCCCAAAGTTTTGAATTTTTTTAATCAGTCCTTCATGTTTTCGAATTTAATCAAGTTAGTCCCTTAACTTCTTATTTATGTTATTGATGCATGCTTGTCTTTGATTTTGTCCATTTTAGCCCAAAAATTAAAAAAATGTTTCAATTTGGTTTACCCTTCTTTCAAGCTTGCTTATTAAGACTTAAATACAAACATAATGAATAAGTTGAATCAAACCCCCAAATGTTAAAGTATGCAACCGTGTTTAAACGGAGGATTGTGAGGTGCGCGTATGCCCTTCCTCATTCCTAACCGAACCCCCGAGTCCCGATCTCTGCGCAGACCTGTTTTAGGTGACTTGTCCCACCTTATAATTTGGACGAGTGGCGACTCCCTTTTTCTTATATATTTCACACTTGATTTTTTCATTTGTTTTGAAAGAAATCTTAAGTGGTCGTCAACAATTATACGTATTTATTTATTTAATAATATTTTATAAAAATAATTTTACAATTTATAATTATAATTTTATAATTAAACGTGATATTATAATTATAATTTTATAATTTTATAAAAAGCTTTAAATGCATTTGATTGAGCCTTTGAGATAACATTAATGATAATTCAAAGGTAGATTTAGGATTAAGCAAGTATTATTTTATAAGTTAAAAGAGTATTATTTTATAAATTAATTTTTTTTTTCTAAAAATAGACAATGAAATAAGTTAAATTTAGAATTCAAACATTAAAGGTAACATTTAAGAAAATTAAATACACTAACCTACCGTGGAGATATGTTTCTAAAATCACCTCAAAAAGAAATAATCTCGAGTTATGTAAAATATGACAAGAAAAACTACTTTGACGAGCAAGTAAATAATAAAAAATAAAAAATAAAAAACAATAATGGCAAATTCTACGGCACTTTTCTACACTAACAAGTTACTTACAGTTAGGATCAGGAGTGGCTCTCGCTAGAGTGATGGTATCCATTGACTCACTCAGAGCAACCATTTACTTTAAATAACTTCTATCAGATCCTCCTTTAATGCATCTCCATATGTATATATTTGTTTTATTATTATTATTATTATTATTAATTTTTTAATATTTAATAATTATATTAAATTTTGATTAATTTAGAATTGAATCACATTAAATTTCATTAAAAATAAAATTTCTCGACACATATTTTTTCAATCACAAGGGTAAAATTTCAGACGTTACTTTAAAAAAAAAATAAATTCTTTTTATTCGAATCAACGTGTTATTAGTATATCTATATATATTTGTTAATCTCCATAAGAATTGTATTTTGAGAAATTGAAAGAATTGACAGTTTGGGTGACAAACATTGAATGCAGAGTTAATAATCTGTCCCACAAACTGCAGTTTAATTTAGCCATTATATTTTGTTTTTCTATCGGAATTAAAATAACCATGCTGTTTGTATTTATTCCAGTTTTTACTTTAGTACTGGAAGAGGATGACAGCACCGCAGCAGAGAAGTCATAAAGGATCCGTCGGATGAATAGTGGTATGTGTCTGTGAGCTGTGACGCGACACGACCCGACGGCAGCATATCACAGTGCTACGCTCCAAACTCTCCGAGACAACTCGAGATACGAGGGGCAATTTACTGGTACCTTTTTTTTTTTTGAGGAAAATACTGGTACCTTTTTTCCCATTGCCACTTTTTTTTAAGGTTCACATCCCACGTGTCGGTCCATCAATCAATTTTGGGTCACCTAAACATTCATTCATGTTAGGATCACGAAATCTTATTCTCTTTTGTACAGAAATATATATATTTTTTATAATCCGGTTTTCTTTGAGGGTGGATTTTGGAGTCCCACTCCGGTCTCTGTTGTTTTTGTTGGATTTAATCTCCATGTTCATGGTGAAAGATTCCCTCTGTTCTTTTGGAATTTGCTTAGATGACAGAGTAACAGCTAGATTAAAGTCAATGAATAGGGCATGAAACTGATTAGTTCACTCCAATTAGTTGAGACTTGAGACATCTCATGTTACTTGATAAAAGGATAAAAAAAATAAAAAAATATTTTATAAGATAGATTATATGTTAAAAGTTTAATTTATTTTATAAATTTATTAAAATATTTTTAATAAAATTATTTTTTATATTATTTTATTAATAATATTTTAATAAATTTGTAAAATAGATTATACTTTTCACATACAATCTGAACTATAATACATGTATATTTAAAAGAAAAAATCTAAGATTTTTAGTTTAAATTTGAAAAATAGACTATACTTTTCACATACAATTTGAAATATAATACATGTATTCTTAAAAGAAAAAGTCAAAGATTTTTAGTTTAAATTTGATAATTAATTAAGAAAGGAAATTCATCAATCCAATATTTAAAAAATTAAGATAAAAACACTCAAAATGTTTTCAAAATTTTTTTTATTAAAAATGAGTAAATTAATTTATTTTTGAGCTAGAATTGAGATTATTCTAATTTTTTTCTTTATTAGAACAATATAGTTTTTGAGTGTAATGAGTAGTACAGCAGATATAAATCCTTTTCTTTAGACTACTCACTTATTAGATGAATCTCATGACTATGGGTAAAACCATTGTGGAAATACTTATGAAAGGTAAAAGTTACAACCAAATTAAGTCAAATGCATTGTCTAAGATCTTCTTTTCCTTTTACCTAAGCGTTAATGATATATGGGCCAATGTTAACATAATTATACGAAAATATTTCATCACATGAGAGGTGATTATTACTAAGCATTGACTACCCACCTCCACCTAACTAGAATTTGAAAATAGACCATACACAGAAGTCTTTGAAAACAGAGTAAACAAACAGCTTTTAAGCTTCCAAATGTCTACAGATGCAGCAATTGGCTGATTCTTGTGCTCATGTGATAATGTAATAATAAATAAAGGCTGTTATGTTAGACAACAGAGTTTGCAGACACCCCCAAACCCCACATTGGCTTGTTGAAGAAACCTACTTTTTTGCCCCAATTTGGGATCAGAGCTAACCCCAAGTCAAAATAAATTCATCAACAGTAATGAACATGACCTCACATTCAATTTCTTTTTCTCTCTCCCCCTTAGCCGTGGATTCAAAAGAATCCAAAGCTGTAACATCATTCGGTGTTTTCTACAACTCTTGATGCCTTTTTATCTGTTACATTTCCTTTTCACCATCTTCCAAATATAAAAGCAGAGTCTTGGTTTATCTCAGGTAAGAGAACAGAGGAGGGTTTATCAAGGATATGGACGTGGTGCGATCAAGAAGAAGCAGAGAAGACAGCCCGGACAGGGCCAGAGTTTGCATGAAGCCAAGAGTTAAACACACCAGGAAAGTTCAGGTTGTTTACTACCTGACCAGAAATGGCCACCTTGAGCATCCTCATTACATTGAAGTCACCCATTCCGCCAATCACCCACTTCGCCTCAGAGGTATTTGCCCATTTTGTGTACTTTTTCTTTCTGTTTGTAATTTCACAAACGCTTCAAATTTTTCATCTTTTATTGTCTCTGTTTTCTGGGTTCATGATTCCTAGATGTAATGGAAAGACTCACGGCACTTAGAGGTAAAGGAATGCCTTCTCTGTATTCTTGGTCTTGCAAAAGGTATACCTCTATACATCTCTTCTGTTCTTCCTTCTCCTGTTTCTGTTTCTGTTCTTGCCTAACACATTTTCGCTTTTTGAGTTTCAGGAGTTACAAAAATGGTTATGTATGGAATGATTTAGAGGAAAATGATGTTATCTATCCATCAGATGGAGCTGAGTATGTACTCAAAGGTTCTGAATTGGTCGACGGCTGCTCTGTTTCAAAAAGATTTCAACTTGGAAGCAACAGGATGCCACCGCCGCCACCGCCGGGAATTCATGAACCAAGTATCCATTCAAAACAGAAATTGCAATCGTTCTCTCTGACTCGATCGACCCATAGAGGAAGAGAACGGGAAGGGCAGAGGACTGCATTTGAAGAGCAAGAATTCGAGGATGAAGAAGAACAAGAAGAGGAAGCATATGAATTGGACGAGGAGAAGACGAGCTACACAAGCTCCACCACACCGCATTCTCGCTGCTCCAGAGGAGTATCCACTGATGAGCCAGAAGAAGACCACAAAAATGGCCCCAATTCAATCCCCAATCACTCATCCCCACCGCCAACCGCCTCCATCCTCTCGGAAAAGCCAAAACAGAGCAAAAACAGTACTTCCCAGAGATTCGAAGACGGTGACCCAGTTGCCCCCGGGTCAGCATCTGGCCGAAACTCTGTTCTGCTTCAACTAATTTCCTGTGGTAACTTAGCCGTTTCTAAAGCGAAGAATGTATCCAATTTGAAGCAACCTGCAAACAATGCACTGAAGAAGAGCGAGAATTTGCACAAAGGAGTTCTCTGCAAAAGTGCAGTGAAGCGTGCAGTAGGCGATGAAGATATGATCATAAGCTGCATGTCGGAGAATCCCAGGTTCGGAAATTTACAAACGGAAGAGAAAGAGTATTTCAGTGGGAGCATCGTTGAGGCAATGAGCGAGCAACGGGCAGTGGTTGCTGCTCAGCCAGCGCTGAAGAAATCCAATTCATACAATGAAGAAAGGTGAGTCATTTTCTTCATAACGTACATATATTTTCACTTAGCCTAACTAGTTTTATTACTCTACCTTTAAGAAAATTGCAAATTTTTTACAACCTTTCTTCACAGTAAGTTTTTTTTTTTTTTCTTAAAAAAAGAAGAAGATTGAACTAATTAAGATTTGATGTGTTCAGGAGCTGCAAGGCTGGATTTGGAGAAATCAAGGAGGAGGAGGAGAGGAGAAAAGAGAAGGTGGGGAAAGGCAATTGTATCCCACGTAAGAAACTGTCATCGGCATTGAAACAGAGTAGAACATGAGAGAAACTGGTGTTTTCCGGAATTATGGAGGTTGCTTGTTGAAGTTTAGAGGTCTCATCATTGAACAGGAACCGTTTTCCTTTTTCGTTGTAAAAAGGGGTCGGTAATGAAGTCTTAGGGATGTTACTTAGCAGAGGAAAAAAAAATATTGGAGATGTTGAAACTTGAAAATGAAAGGAAGCTGTTATTCTCTGTTCTCTAAATTTGGCCATAGAAATCATAACACGCTTAGACTATCCTAACAGCATTCTACATTAGCAAATTTAGAAAATCAGAATGTTAGACCACAGCCACAGGGGAAAGGGTAAAAGTTTGAGTTTAGTTCAATTAAATTTACTTTATGCATATATACTCAAATTTGAATATGGGATTTGAATTTATTATTTTTATTTATTTATTTATTTTGAATGTGGAGAGTGAGTCTTGAACTTCATACTTTAAATAAGCATCCTTGAATAAGCATCCTTGAATAAGCATAACAAAGTGTTTATAAGAGTTTAATAATCACTAGTCGATAAGGTGGTTCTTGAATTTATTATTTTTATTTGATGAAAGACTACATAACCCTTTTTACTTTCTAATCCCTATCTGTTTGGAGTTTGAACTAATATGCAAATTTCCAAATCATTTTTTGAGTTTAAATTCAGAATAGTTAAATTAAACTTGCTCAACTACGAAGTCTAGATCATTTAAAACAAAACAACCCGAGTCTAGAATCCAGCTCGAATTCAGCTTCGTTAATAAACTCCACCCCGTCCATGGCTATCTATTAAAGGCTTTGTTCATTTTCATAGACTTCATTTATATTCCCCTTTTTGTCATTTTCATGCATTATTTTGTTTTGTTTTAATTGCATAATAACATAAAATTATCTTTCGTCTTTTTTTCATTCACATGTTTACAACTTAAATACAAGATTTTTGTTTCATAACTCTACTTAAAAATAAAATTATCATTGAACCACTTAAATATTTGAAATCATTATTACACTTTAATTCACACAAAAACAGTGCACTCCCGTCTTTTTTTCATTCATATGTTTACAACTTAAATACAAGATTTTTGTTTCATAACTCTACTTAAAAATAAAATTATCATTGAACCACTTAAATAGTTGGAATCATTATTACACTTTAATTCACACAAAAACAGTGAACTTCTATCTTCATAATCTATTCAAGTAATCAATTGATGTCATTTTTTAACACACACACACACACAAAAACAAAGAGAGCATGAAAAGCATATTTAGAATGTTCTTCAAAGGTGATTCTTGCATGAGTCCATACTTAATTAGTGTATTTAAAAAAAAAGAGAGATTTTTTTATCTTATGCCCTTAGGGCATGGAATAATGGTACAATAAATACATAATTTTATAATTAATTAATATATATAAAATGATAAAAGTTAATTTGAATTTAATTAATTGGCTAATTAACATTGTTTACATAACAATAATACTTAAATAAAAGTTCTTTTATTATTTTTTATATAAGTTAATTGCAAAAATATATATTTATTACACCTTAACATATAACTTAAGGGTGCATGTTAGAAAAACCTTTAAAAAAAAAAAGCTCTTGACTCAAAATTTTGAAATTAAATTAAATTTATAAGAAAAAAATTAGTTGTCAATAAATTCAACCCTTATATGGCCAAAAAAAAATAATAATAAATTCGAACTCTTATGATTATTATTTAGATTATTCTAGCCCCTCAATTTTAAGGTTTTATATAATTTTTATCCCTTAATTTTTTTTATGTATTTTTTTTATTTTTTAACTATAAAAAATGTATTTTTTTAATTTTTTTGTTAATTAATTTATTAAATTTATCAAAATTTACATATTTTTAATCTATCAACTTAAAATTAAGGGATAAAAAATATTTTTATATTAAAAATTAAGGGATTAAATATATATAAATTTAAATAAATTTAATAGATTAATTGACAAATAAACCAAAAAAATATATTTTTTTACCATTGAAAAATCAAATAAATATATAAAAAATTAAAAAATAAAAATTATATAAAATTTTAAAATTGAGGATCAAAATTGAGAATTAAGTTAGAACACAGCTGGGTATCTGGATGGGATTAGACAGTTCACATGGATATAGACTTCAGGCCTAGCCCTAACTTGATGGCCCATTGGAGAAACAATTAGGTTCTTGGAAGTCCAAGCTGTTTTCTGTTTTGACTTAATTTGATAATGTTGTCCATAACACATATTTATAAAATTCTTATAATTTATATATTTAATAAATTATTTATTTTGAACCTGGGTCTTCGGGTCAAGTGGTTTTGGCTACTCTTGTAAGGTTCATGTCCCTCTTCCCTAGGGCAACGGTTCGAACCGGTCCCATGACAAAATGTTCAAAAAAAAAAAATTATTTATCTTTATTTTTTTTTTAAAGCCATATTATTCAAAATTAATAAAATTTTTAAATAATTTAATAAAATCTTCAAATTTTTTTATGCATTATATAGTAAATTATTAATTAATTTAATTTTAAATAATAATGTATTTAATTAAATAATTTTACAATAAATAACTTTTTAAAATATAATTATTAAATATTAAAATATTTTTTGTGACAATATAAAACAATACTTCTATCAAATATAACTACAAAATAATATCAGACGGTATTATCAAACTAGTCCGAGCCTTGCCAAGTTGCTAGGCTTCTCATTTCTGTTTCTGTTGACTTTTGATTTGGGGCTTCCGTTGATCGCCTCGGAGATGTTTAGTCAGTGATATTTCTCCTTAAAAAAAAAAAAAAACACTTTCTCTAGGAATTGATATTAATTAACTTTTGGGTCAATTGCAATTTTTTATAAAAAGATTTAATTAAAAAATCATATTTTTAAATTAATTTAAATTAATATTATAAAAAAAAATTTAGTCAATAATATAATCTTTACAATTTTATTAAAAAATATTAAGTGAATATACATGCAGGTATCTTATAGATTTCGTTTTCAGATCTGACTTTAAAAATAGATGGCATGGATGATTACTTGGAAAATTTTTTTTTTTTTAAAAAGAATAAGAAAAAAAGAGGCAAATAAATTGCTGAGACCCATTCCATTTGAAAACAAACAAAATTGTTAGGTGCTCCCTTTTTTTATTTTTTATCATTTTTAGCTAAAATTATTATGCATGCTGTTTATTTTAAAATACATCAATAACAAAAAAAAGTGAGGCTTGCAAATAGAATGTGTTAGACGTGTTAACGTGCACATTATTTAATTTTTTTAGTAAAATTATAAAGATTATATTTTTAATTAAAAAATTTTAAAAGATAATTCTTGATTTATAAAAAAAATTATATTCTTAATTAAAAAATTTTATAAATTATGTTTCTATTTGTGCGAAATCTTCTCCTTGATTGCCCATATCGATTTAAATCCACCTCCAAGCAGGTGAGTTCATATTTTATATACATGGTTAATTGTCCTTCCGTAAATGGGAGCATAATGTGACAATTAAGGCCCACAAAATTCAGTAAATGGAAAGAGAAATAAGGTGGAGGACGAGAGTGACGAGACCCTTTTCTTCTGTTAAAATTTATATCCTACTATATATTTTGGATCAATTACTAGTTCAATAAATCAAAATGTGAGTACAAACTTATCAAATTGAGTTACATAATAGCCTAGATAGTAGATGCCACCCCTTTTTGAGAAAATGCAAAAGATGTCACTCAAGTCGCAATCCCTTAAAAAATTCTCCATTTCCACAAAGACCTTGTTAAGTGTTCCAAACCGTCAAAAGAAGTTAGGCGTACTTGGTGATGGCTCAAATGAGTGCTTAATTATGTAAAAAAAAGAAAAGAAAAAAAAAAGAGTGCTTAATTCATCTCGATCTACTTGTGATATACAGCACAAACACAGATATTGAGTCTAGATCCAGTTTTTACGCATGCACCATGCCCTTTGCCTCACTTTCTTCATAATTATTCCTTGAACTAAGCTAATTAGTATTAAATTATTTGTTCTTGGGATCCATAACCATTTAATTGAAGTCATTAAATTTTCTTCCCAAACACTTAAGTCAGCCAGCTCTTTCTTGTCCATCGATCTGCCTTGGTTGTACTGATTCTCAAAATCCTGTCATATGCTGCCTCTTCCATTAAGTTAGCTCTTGCACATGCCTGCCACACGTTCTAGTTAATGCCATTTCTTAATCCCATAGATTTAGTCAGAAAAATACCTCTACTCCATAATTTTACTTGGTGAGAATTTATTTACATATGTCTAAAATTTTCACATTAAATTATCATCCTATTTTAAAACTTTAATTTTTTTTTGGCCGCAAAAATCTAATAGCTGAAAATGATAATATTTAATATAAAACATTCTAAATTAGAGTTTACTTTTAAATTACAAAATCAAAACCATTAAATAAGAGAGGGTCTATTCTCATATTGAAGGGCTCATTAACATATATCTTATTGAATTACACAAAATGTTTTTGTTCAAATTACAAAACATAAAATTTAACTTCTATAATTTATATAACACTTGCACATATAACGGGTTTACACTTATATTAGTATATTTTTCAGAATTCACCAACAAATCTTGGTGCAAGTGGAAGGGTGGGAGGTGGATCTAGCCGACCGCAAGGAATTGGACAACGGAGAAGAAAATGCCGCGAGACGCGATGTGGTCTTAATTTCTTTGTTTCTCTTTCTCCATGCTATTATATAATTTAAACATACACTAAACTCACATCCCCCATTTCCATTTCAGTGATCTTTCTTTTTATTTTGCTCTTCTTCTCGGCAATGGCTACTACTAGATTGTTCTTGCTACTGGCTCTATGTGTGCTTCCCATGCTCGCTAGTGCCAAGCCTGGCCCATTCCAAATCCGCGGCAAGGTCTACTGTGACACCTGCCGCGCTGGTTTTGAGACCGTCAAAAGCTATTACATTTCTGGTAAGTATACATGTTGATATGCTTTTATGGATGGAAAATAGTGTGATTTGTAAATGGTATATATATGAGTCGAAATCCACCAATATTATCTTAGGCCATATGCACCTACTAATCTACCAATTTGGCCTATGAGTCCGGGGCTTTATGTTAATCAATAATAACAATTGGGTGATCTTAATTAATTAATTTGGTGATATTGCTTGATAACTTTGCAGGTGCGAAGGTGAAAATCGAGTGCAGTGACAGGAACAGCTTAGAGGTAAAGTACAGCGTGGAGACGGATACGGACAGCACCGGAACTTACAATTTTGAGGTTCAAGAAGACCACGGTGACCAGATGTGCTACGCGGAACTGGTAAGCAGCCCGGTGGCTGACTGCAAGGTGCCGAATAAAGGACGCCATCGCGCAACCGTCATCCTCACCCGCACCAACGGCGCAGTTAATGATCTTCACTACGCTAACAACATGGGATTCCTACAGAGGAAGGCTCTGGATGGATGCGATGAGTTGATAAGGAACTTGCTATTGGATGATGAGCAATAGATTTTGCTGTTTCTTCTTAATTTCAGACTGTTATCTCTCTCTTAGGCCTGTCAAAGACTGTTGTTTAATTACCTGCCATTGTTCTCGATGATGGTGTTTTTTGGTTTCTTGGGCGTTAGTACAATAATTTGTCACTCGTGGCTTCCAAACTGTTGCAATAATAAAATGAATGTATAAGATGTTTATTGAAGTTTTAGACTTTTTTTTTTTTTTTCTGTAAGTAGAGAGTAAAGTAAGCACTTGGCCCTTCGAGCCAAGCGGCCTTAAGGCTGCCTTACAGT